AGGGTGGACAATGTTTTCTAGGGAAAGGAAGCTTGAGGAAGAGGCCTCTAATCCAGCAAGGGGTGTGTGTGTGTGTCGGGAAAGACAGATGTGTTGGAATGCAGTGACAGCATGTGGCCTGGATGGAAACACCCCCTGGAGGTTAGGCGCTAGTGAAGGGAAAGGAAGGGCGAGGATGGGACCACCAAGGAAGTGGTGTAGTAGACAGAGAAATGAACACAAATTCCTTAAGGAATATTTCAGTTAATCTGTGAGCCAGGAAGGCCTGCTATTTGCCAGATAGACTGCTGGAAGCTAGAAAATAAGATGCTGGGTAACCAGGTTATTGTGCAGTTTATCTTTGCCAAATTTGGCAGTGATTTGCCTGTGTACATTCCAACTTCAACCTTGTTTGGGGGTCATGTTTATCTTGGTGTCCCCATTTAAAATCTGTTAGCCCAACACCATGAGGAGGCTTTGGGGAAGAAGTATGTTGAAAGTAATAGAAGATTTTAAAATTTTTAATCAATTTTATTTGGGGTAGATAGATGATTTTCACATCTGCATGTGAAAATGTTCACATGTGCATCAGAACTGTGGAAACAGAACAAGAGTGGCACCTCCCCTCTCCCCCCACTGGGTGTGTGTGTGAAGATACAGAATCGCTCCCAAAGCTCTTATGATTCAGTAGATCAAAAACAGCCAAGAATCTACATTCTTAGCAAGTTTCCAGGTAGTGCAGGTACTGTGGGTGTTGGGATCACACTTTGAGAGCCACTTTAAAATGTTTTTGCTCTGAAATCAGAGGCATATCCAACTTTTGGCAGGTATGATACATGATCTGGACATCATTTGGGGTTTGGGGTGGGAGGGGCACCAATGAGCAGTTTATTGGTTAGCACAGCTCCATTGCCAACTGTGAGCTATTACTCAGCACTTTAAAAGTAATTGTCATAGGTGCTGTTTTCTGAGGATACAGTATTTTTGGAATACAAACTTTCTTAATAAGTTGAACATGTTAGTCTGAGCTTTCAACTATTTGATGCTAGTGTGGGTCAAATGTTAGGGCTCCGTGGATGGTGAGTGACAAAAGGCTAATCCGTTTCACAGCTCCCTCCAGAGTGGCTCTGATCAGTTCAATCTCCAGTTCTATCTAGGATCCCCAATAAACATTTCGCAGAGGACTAATTAAAGATACTGTTCCTATCTTTAAATGACACCTAGGAGGGAAGGGCATTTCAGAGGTGGCATGGTTGGACCCTGTCTTCTAGTCTCTGTCCCTCTCTGCTACCTACCACTAATAGGCCTTTGCAGTTCCCCTAAAGTCACTATTGTTGTTAGAGGGTCTCAAGTCAGTTCCAACTCATAGCAATTGTATGTACAACAGAATGAAACACTACCCCATTGTGTTAGGCCAGGTTGTCTAGAGAAACAAAGTCCAGAGACACTCATATGTGTAAAAAAGAGCTTTATTTCAATAAGTAATTATATATCAAGAAAACATCCCAGCCCATTCCAGCTCAAGTCCCTAAGTCTGATACTGGTCCTCCATCTTCAGACTCAGTTACATGCAATGATGCAGAATGTGGGACAATCACAGGCCGGTAGATATAAAGTTGTGTGGATCCAAGGTCAGTGGAAACAAGGCAAGGGCGCCAGCAGCTGTATCTGTGGCCAGCAAGCAGGAGTGTCAGGGCACAGAGCACGAGGGAGAGGTTCCCCAGGCCCTCCTTATGAGAAGGCTACCCCCACAAGGAGGCACCACCAAGGTGTGACCTGATTGACAGGTCGGATACCACCTCTACACTTTTACATATCTACCAAGTTGACATAAAATTATCCAACTGTCACACCCATCATGTGCCAGCTTCACAACTGCTGTTAGGTGTGAGCTCCTTGTTGCAGCCACTGTGTCAATCCCACTGTCAATCCTGTCAAGACACAGAGTCTGCCTCTGTGTCAATCCCTCTCCTGGAGTCTGCCTCGTTGTCTCTGCCCCTCTGCTTTACCAAACACGATGTCCTTTTCCAGGCATGGTCTCTCCTGAAAACATGTCCAAAGAATGTGAGACGAAGGCTCAGCATCCTGTTTCTAAGGAATATTCTGGCTGTAATTCTTCCAGACAGATTTATTTGTTCTTCTGGCAGTCCATGGTGTGGGAAACAGAAAGATTTTTCCTAAGCAGTCTCCCCCAAATATATGCCAAACCCAAGCCGCTGCTTGCTACATGGTAATGTACACTAGACAGTCAATGAAAGTAGGTCAGAGATTACAGTATTCTCTTTAAGGGTATCTAGAGCAACAAGATTGTATAATCTGACTCACCCTAGGTAGGGGCCACTCCCTTCTGATATTGTTTCCTTTAAGGAGTGCCTGAAGGCAAGCCTGGGACCACTCAAGGATGACTAAGGTTAGGCCACTATATTGAATCTAGGGTCCACCCATCTTGCCACATATGTACCCCTATTCCTTCCCTTTACTAGTGCGTGTACACCCCTAGGTCATCCCCCCTCCTATTGCTTGTATTGCCTATGTTACTACCCCTCCCTGTGACGTAGATTGTTATTTGTAATCAGAGGGCTTGCATGCCCCCAAAGATATGTAAGGTCTGGTTAGAAATAAAACCTCACGATGCTCTCTCTCCTGCCCGCTAGTCCCCCACCTCCACGTGTACCACCAAGAGGAGCTGAGGTGAGCATGCTACCATGAAATGTGTCTGACTTCTTTATTTTACTCTCCCATCTCTCCCTATGCTCCATGGCTTTACTATAATTTTTATATATCTTAACCGTACAATTGCACCTACCGAACCCGTGATTAGTTGTAGGGGACTGGCTACCCCCACACCATGGTGCTTTTGCTATTCTTCACCAGCATCATAGCTCAAATGCATCGATTCTTTATCGGTCTTCCTGAGCCAAGGTCCAACCTTCACATCTATCAGACGATTGAAATACCATGGCCTGGGTCAGATGTTTGAAAACACTCAGTCCTCAAAGAGACACCCTTGCTCTTCACCTGCACATGCAATTTTGTTGAATACGGTTGCAGCAGCATGTCTCCAAGGAGCTGCCAGAAATTCAAGCTGGATTCAGAAGAGGAGATGGCCTGAGGGATATAATTACTGATGTCAGCTGGACACTAGAAAGATGCATACCTGTGTTTCGTTGACTGATTCATTTGACTGTGTGGATCATAACAAACTATGGCTAAACATTGAGAACGATGGGAATTCCAAAACACTAAATTGCGCATCATGCTGAACCTGTACATAGACCAAGAGGCAAGGGAATGTGGCACAGTTTAAAATTAGGAGAGGTGTGTGTCAAGCTTGTCAACATACTTATTTCATTTGCCTGCTGGGCAAGTAATCCAAGAAACTGGACTATATAAAGGAGACCACAGCATCAGCATTGGAGGAAGGCTTATTAACAACCTGCAATATGTAGATGACACACTCTTGCTTGCTGTAAGTGAGGAGAATTCGAAGCAGTTGCTAATGAAGTTCAAAGACTGGAGCCTTCAATATGGATTGCAACTCAATATAAAGAAACCCCAAATCCTCACAAGTGCACCAATAGATAACATCACGACAAACGGGGAGGAAAGATAACAATCGTCAAGAATTTAATTTCATTTGTATCCACAATCAATGCTCAGGGAAGCAGCAGTCAAGAAATCTTACTGCACAAGACCCAGAGCCGCTACCATTTACTGCATGTCTCCAGAGACCCCAGAGCAGGGCCCAGAGTTGGAGCAGGGTCCCTGGAGCTGAGAAACGTGATCAAACCTGCTCCGCAGGCCCCGCAGGGCGGGGTTCAGGGCGCGCCTCCAGGTGGGCCCACCCCCGCCCCCACTCTGGCTCCAGGGGCGTTCCCGC